TAGCATAGTAGGCCCCCTGTTTCATCAGGCTTTTGCCTAAAGTTTTGGTTGGATGAGTGATCTCCCTACTGAAGTTTGAAAAACAATAATTTGCCTATTTTTAAAATTTTGTGTTCAACAGATTTTTCCATGTTTGCCTTCTAACATGTATTTGACTTTTTTAAATTCTCTCAAACAGTTTAAGGAACAGAATTTCATCTTTTTCTTGAAGGCTTAGTAGAATTTATTTATTAAAGTATCTTGTCCGGGTAGATGCTTTTGGAAATGGAGAGAGGCAAAGATAATATACCTCTTAAATCAGCTTGAGTATATAAATATAAAATAATTTATATTTTATTAGGGAATAACTTTTGTCTATGTCTTTAAGTTATTAGAGTGTAGTTGCATATGCTATTCTCTTTGTTTAAAGAATTTCCTTAGTATTTGCGGTCTGTATATTCCTTTTCTCATTCTCAAGACTGTTTTCATTCCTTTTGGAGGCTGACTTTACAGACTTTTCTGCTTTTTGTTTTCTAATTTACGTTTTATTTTTTAATTCACTCTTTTAGAAGATGTGTTTATTTTGTTGTGACAGTCAGCCTCCTGTATCCATGAGTTTTACATTTGTGGATTTTGGTATATGCGGGGTGGTCCTGGACCCACTCCCCCAGGAACTGAGGGACCACCTAACTTTTTTGCTTCTTGAACTTACTACTTAACTTATTTTAAATCTTTATTGTATAGTAATAGAATCATTTAGGGAGATGTTCTCCTAAGCTTTGGCTTATTTTATAGATTTTGAAGCATAGTATTTTATTCTCTTCATTGTTTGTTTTAATAGTTGACTTTCAATTTTGATTTCTTTAGCCGAGGAGTTACTTTAATCAATGTGTAAGGAAGAGATTCTCATAAGGTCTCTCAAGTAAAAGAGGATTTAATTATAGGGACGATGTGATTTCACAGGAATGCAGGGCCAGTAACTTGGGGCCTCCTATGACCTCTGAAATAGGTAGTAGTTAGGAATTGGAATATCTTTCTAAACTGTCACATAATTTCCCTTATGTCATCAGCTAGGTCACTCCTTTTGATAATACATCTGATGGTTTTTCTTTATCCATTCCTACTTATAAATGAAGATGTATTATAGATTGTTTTAATGTTGTAGTGGGGATAGGCAATATTAATGTGATTTATCAATTTATCAGCAGCTCCTCTCCCTGCTCCATATTGTACATAATAGCAGATAGAGAATCTGCAAAGTTTGTGTTGATCTTTACTGTGACTTGCAACCTTTTAGAACTTCCCCAAATTCTGGGCTATGTTTGGCAGTTTCCATCTCGTGTTTAGGATTTGAAGAGCAATCTCAGGGAAATATTTTTACACACTTGTGATCACATGTAACTATCACATTTACTTGTTTGATAAGTTATTTTCTAAATGTAGCACCTTCAATTTGCCTTCACTCCTATATGTAATATTACTTTATATAATGCCCCAGCTTTAAAAGTTTTTATAATTTTGTGTTATTTAAATTTGATAAATAAGATTAATTTAAAGTCCTAGTCTTAATTTATATTAGCTTTTCTTTGGAAATCCAGATTATGTATCTTTTTAAGAACTCAGTTATGCCAACATATTTCTCTGTAGTTCATAGAATTTCCTTCAAGTCAGTCAGCAAGCATTTTTTTGAGAAATTCCTCTGTGTAGAGTGTGTAGCATTTGTAACTGATGTACTAGAGGGCAGATTTTGGGAGGGAGCAGGACGGACTGGATAACATCCACTTAAAAATTACACTAAAGAGATAGACACCAGAAGCCGTGGAAGACCGATAGCTGAAATCCATTCTTGGTAGTAGTCAGAGCAGGCTCACCTTACCTGGTGACGCTTGAAACTTAGTTGAAGACTGAGTCAAAAAAACAAAAACAAAATAAACATCACTTTAAGAAGAATGGGATCCAGCAAGCTTTGCCAAGAAAACCATTCATAGAATTTGACTTAGTAAACTCCTTAGGGAATATCTTAGTAATAAATGCTAAATAAAGGGCAGTTGTTATTGTTGTTGTTTGTTTTTAAATAGAAATTGATGACCAGAGGGATGAAGTGACTTTGCCAGGGTCCTGAGTCTTGATGCTAGCGCTTGACCTACATACAACTACTTGTTGTTGTTGGAAGTTTTCCACAGGACACCATTGACTCTCAAAGCCGGCGTCTTTGGGAGTGCCTGACAGTCCTTTATCTTTGGAGCATTTTGCAGTGCAACATTGTCCTGTGTGCTGTTGTTTTCTTTGGCCTTCCCCAAACCAGGGGGTTTTTTTTTTTTTTTTTGCGACAGAATCCTAGTATTTACATTTATAGTCCTAAGCCCTTATCTCTTTCTTTTCCTTTTTTGTATATTTACAGCAACAGAGCCATTTTCATTAGGATTCTTTGCCAGGTAAAGTTACCATTGGAAATAGGTGAAATGAGACCTCCTTTTTGAGAGCCAAGCTTAGGGTGACTTGTTGTTCTCTTCCCTTATTTCTGTAAAACAGGTTTCCTTAAAATGAAGAATATCTAAAAATAACTGGAAGGAGGGAAGCAAAGTAATTATTCCATTTCTTTAGAAAGAATCACAGATATCTTGTTTCTTTATGACTGCCTTGTTGGTGTCAGTGTTCTCCATGATTTAATGTTGCTTATACTACTGTAACATAAGCAGTTGAAATATTTAGTACGATTGGGGACTTTAGGGAAGATGCATTGCATTTCTTGCTTGGGAAGACACTTAGTCCTGAAAAGCATTAGTCCTTTTCATGCATGAAACCTTGAGTAAACTATAACAGGTGAGTGATGAAATAGGCCAAGAATTTTCTTATTTTCCATCTTTGTTTTGTTTTTCTCTTTTTTGCCCATAGCATAGGGGTAAGATAAATATTCATCTTAACACATGGAAGAAATGAAGTGAGATAAAGTCTGGCATTATGACACATGTTGCTGTGAGAGTGTCATTTAGAGGTACACTGTCCCGTGTGGTAGCCACTAGCCACATGTGGCTCTTAGGCACTTGAAATGTGGCTAGTCCAAATTGAGAAGTGGTGTAAGCGTAAAATACACACTGGATATTGACAACTTAGTACGGGAAAAAAATCTCATTGACACTTTGAACAATTGATTGCTTTCATTATAAAAATCGATTACGTGTTGAAATCATACTTTTGATATATTGGGTTAAAAAGAGCATAATTAAGTTTTATTTTAATGTGGCTACTAGATGATTTAGAATTATATATGTGGTTCCTTTTTTTTTTTTAAGATTTCTATCGGGGAATTGGGAAAGGGGAACAGCCAAGTTGTCCTTCAGTCTTAGTTGTGGAGGGCGCAGCTAGCTCAGCTCCAAGTCCTGTTACCATCCGGCTGCCCATCGGCAGCTACCGGCCGCTCAGCTCAAGGTGCCGAGTTCAGTCTTAGTTGAGGGTGGGCATAACCCATCATCCCATGCTGGAATTGAATCTGCAACCTTGTTGTTAGGAGCATGTGCTCTCACCAGCTGAGCCATCCTGCCACCTGCTGACAGCTCAGAGGCAGCTCAGCTTGGGCACAGCTCACTGGCCCATGTAGGAATCGAACCAGTGACCCTGTTGCTCAGAGCTCGCGCTCTTAACCAAATGAGCCACTCGGCCGGCCCCATGGTTCCTATTTCTATTGGACGGCACTGATCGAGAGTATAAAATATGGATGTTAGGATTACAACTCAATATTCTCTGACTTGTACTATAGGAAATATGTACACATATAGTGTATGAAATAGAACTGTGCTACAGCTTGTACATGTAGCTGTATTTGATATATTTAAATTTATTTTTAGTTTAGAAAACTAACAAGTGTTATTCCTGACAACTATTTATTGTAGAAGCCAAGAAGAGTTTTAAACAATTGCTTCTGGTCTATCAATGAGACTTAGAAGTGCAGCGCAGAGGAATTACGTATTATGAATCAGTGTAGCTGTATGTATTGCCTCTGCATAGCTGCCAGCTTGAGAAGGAACCCCAGGTAGCTGTGTGTGGAGTGTGCAGCACTGAGGAGGACAGGTGGGGGAAGTTTCCTTAGGTCAGTTTCTGAGAGGGTGTTTGGTCAGCTCAAGGTCATACTCTTTCTAGCTAGGTGGGGACACGTGTGACAAGTATATCTGACCCAAGTGTGGGTTACCCTTATTGTCTGAAAATCACTAAGTAGGTGGATTTCTGAGGCAGCAAGTGGCCGAAGGTATGTACTAGATTTTGTTGGATAAATGGACAGTGAGATCTGAAGCAGGAACTGCTTGTTGCCTTCATTTTACCCCCAAGAACAAGTCAGTAGAGAATGGCTTGGAGTCTTGTCCTTTGAGATTTGTTACCACTCATTTCCTTGTTATTCAAAAGTCTTTCTCATTTGGATGCTCAGCTGGGAACTTCAGTCATTTTAGAAGTTTGACTGCTAAATAAGATATATGAATTTTTAGCTTTGCTTTTTAAAAAATAATTTCCATATATTTTCTGTGCCTTAATATTTGAGTTGGGGTGAAAATTCATTGGATCACAATTCTGTCTTGATTGTGTTGATTTACTCCTTAGCATCGGAGGTTATGCATGTGGTATCGTAAAAATGGAATTCTTTGGTTAATTAATAATACTGTGACAAACCTGTATTGGTAGGGCCTAGTTTTGAAAAGGTTACATTTTCATTGGTTATAAACTTTGTAGTCAGAAAGCAAATATGGGTTTTCACTTGAGCATAATCAGATAATGGTTTAATAGAAACGAATAGACTACTAAAATTAAGAGTACAATAAAACATAACACCATAACTTCAGTGTAATTTGGCAAGGTGAGGGTGACAGCATGAACAGGAAGGAATCAAACTGGTATGTGGAAATGCTGGTTATTAGCACGTGCCAGTTGAAAGAATGCTGGAAAAATCAGACTTATAGTATATTTTAAACAAGGTTTTTATATACTTGAAGGTGACTATTTGCTTATGTCTTCTTTTTTTTCTTTTCTTTTAGAATATGGTTTCTAGTTTTAGGGTTTCTGAACTACAAGTATTACTAGGCTTTGCTGGGCGGAATAAAAGTGGACGCAAGCATGACCTCCTGATGAGGGTGTTGCATTTATTGAAGAGCGGCTGCAGCCCTGCGGTTCAGATTAAAATCCGAGAATTGTATAGACGCCGATACCCACGGACTCTTGAAGGACTTTCTGATTTGTCCACAATCAAATCATCAGTTTTCAGTTAGGATGGTAGCTCATCGCCTGTAGAACCTGAGTTGGCCATGGCTGGAATCCACGCGTTGCCTTCCACTTCAGTTACACCCCACTCACCATCCTCTCCTGTTGGTTCTGTGTTGCTTCAAGATACTAAGCCCACGTTTGAGATGCAGCAGCCATCTCCCCCAATTCCTCCTGTCCATCCTGATGTGCAGTTAAAAAACTTACCCTTTTATGATGTTCTTGATGTTCTCATCAAGCCCACAAGTTTAGGTAAGTGTTAGAAAAATCCATTTTTTCTGGACAAGAGAGTAAATAAAGCAAGAGTCCTTCAACTATTGATTAATGATTTGCTGTTAATATTATAAAATTGAGGCATTAATACCAAATGTTTAAATGCACAGATAAAAACATATTGGCATCCATGACCAAAATCTAATATGAAACTGTTGATTCATCATTCATTCACATTCTCTGTGTGTATGGGAACAGACAGAGATCTTATTGTCTGTGATTCTGTCTTTTAATACTTTTATAGTTTTACAAAGAGACTTAGTTACTGTTTAACATACCTTTTAAACTGCTTTTCTAAGAAATAAACCTTTTATAACTTAATTTTTTTCTAAAGTGGCACAGGGAGCTTGACACAAGTTTTTAAGCTGCTTTTTAGCTTAATATCCATCAACTCAGAAAATTTAATAATTTTTATATTACTAAAAGTTGATACATGTGACTTTTAATAAATTTTTACCTAGGTTGAGGAATTCTGTGTTATAACAGTATAATTTCTTACTGCCTAATGAAATTATTTTCAAAGGTATTTGGCTTTATTGATGTAAATTTGTTTGGGAAGTGATGTTTTATAGTTAACCTGGGAGATTATTTTCTTTTCCATCCTGGGAAAACCCTTTTTGTTTCAAGTCATTTGAAAACTCTTAAATATATTAATGTGCCTTTTGCCTTTTGTATAGGATTATACTGCAGTATATCTTGGTTGAGCCAGAAGGAAATTTTGAGGGCAGAGTTGGTTAATTGGGTCAGTGTGACCTAATTGTTTGGCAGGCCAAAGTGGTATTCTTTTCCCAGGTCCTTGCTTTAATTTTTTTTATTTAGCAATACTGAGCCAGGCAGGTAAAATAATGCATTTTACCCTTCATGACATTTATTTTGAATAAGAATTCTGTGTTTGTCTGCATTTTAATATTTGTACAAAGTCATATAAGTAGAATTATTGCATCAAAGAGTAAGAAAATTTTAGATTTTTGATAACATATTGCTAAATTAGTTTCCAGAAGAGCTGTGCCAGTTTAAGTTACACAAAGTGAGAGAATGTCTCTCATTGCATGTTACTTTCTGCCTTTATTAGGTGTTACTAAAAACAATTCTTTATGATATTGATGGATGAAAACTTGTTTAGATATTTTATTTTTAAATTAATAACAGGAGCAAACATTTTAAATGTTTGTTACCCAGTTGCCTTTCTTTTATGATTTTACTTTCATCGTTAACTTTTTTTTAGGTTCATTTATCTGGTTAAATGTTTCCATAATTAATTTGTTTATTCCTCCCTTTGTCATGGTTTTTGGTTTATACCAATGCTACCAATACACAGTGTCATGGCTCATACATTCTTTCTCAGCAATTATCGTTTCTTTCTTTGTATGTATTTTGAGAAAGATTTAGAATAGTGATATGCTTAGGTGACTACCTCATGGGACTCTTCAGGAATATGGCCAAGGTGAGGACTGAGAAGATAAGAGTGACTGTGGGACTGTGGTTACAGTGGAAGGCGTTTCAGAGGCAGGGTTGAATGCCTGGAAAGAAGACTGGACACAAACAAGATGCAGCATTGTGTCTCCTCTGCTTGTTAGCATCCGGGGGTGTGCCAAGGGGTGAACCCTGGGGGGCTTCCTGCTGCTCTTTTCTTACTTTCCTGCTTTGTTCAGAAATAGAAATTTTCTTGCTTTTCTGTATTCTTCATAGAGTTTGTCTTTCAGTAACTTCAGTAAGGTTAAAGAAAAATAGTAGGCTTTTTGTAAGTTTACTGAAATAAAACTTTTGTATTTCATTTGGCTTAGATGAGTATTTTCTGTTGAAGAGTGGCTTAGAAAAACCTGCCTTTTGCTTATAGTTAGAATGTAAGAAATATATGTAACCTTGGGGCTTATAAAATAACTTTTTATCTCTGAGCTAAAAACTTCGTATTTATATGTTTTTCAGGAGTCCTGCCTATGATTGTTTTTATAAACATTATAAACGGATTCTTGTTTTAAAACAAGGCTTAAACATTACTTTTTTCTGCCTTCTTTCCTAAAGAGAAAAAGAAAAGAATTTTCTTAATGTGTGTAGTATTATTATGTTTGATTGATAAAATAGTGATCTAAGAAATGCTCTTTTAGACTTGCAGGTAGAAAGTTTAAAAATCAGTGTAGTACCATATAGACTGCCAAATAAAAGTGGAAAAAATATAATAATTTCCAGTAATGACCTTTAACTGAAAATTTTTAGTGTCACAATGTCTAAGGCAATGTAATATGAACTTCAGAAGTTCCCTTAGTTTTTAATGATTTGGTTTGAATATGTTGAAAATACTTCTAAAAATAAAAATTCTGGGAAAATTCATTTATTGAAAAACCTGTTTACCTTTGGGAAATAAGAATTAAAAATCCTCAGGAGTCAAAGAGTGATATCAAATCAGTATTTCAAAGCACATATTCTTCACAACTGCAAGCCAGTCTGCGTATTCTTGATTTTCTATATATTTATTAGATTTTTCCTAAGCCATTAACATATTGTTGAATAGAAAAAAATTGACAACCCAGGAGAGACTGAAAGAGCCATGGTAGAAGAAACAGATACAAGAGGTCAAAAATGTCATTTTAAAATCTCTTGGGATATTGAAACCAATAGCCCTTTTAGTATTAAGAGAATCACTTATATCATGGCACATGTATTGATGCTTTAAAAAAAAAAACCACAGAACAACCAGGGTGAATATATTCTGTTTAAGAAGATACATTATTATATATTTTGCAGATTGGAATTATTTTTATTCAAAATGGTTAAAATAAAAATTTTAGCATTTAAAATGACAGACTGGCATCTAGAAAACACGAGTGTACATAGTACTAAATGAGGTTCTCTATAGCTAAGGTTATACTGTAACAAATGGATAATCCCCTAATCTAAAAACAAACCAACCAAAATCTGTTCTTTTCACTCAATAGGTATTCTAATTTGCTCTCACAGACAGTCTTTCTCTTCTGTTGGATTTTCTTTTTTCTGTTCTTTAAGATAATTTGAAGGTGAGATCCTTTGGGAATTTTATTTCTATTTAAAAATTTTATCTATATTCAATCTGTCCAAAGAATATATATAAAACATTTAAGTTGTGAAGAACATCAATGAAATGAGCACCTATGACCCTTTTCATATTACTAAAGTAATTTATCCTAGTAATTGAAAATTCAAATATCGTAGAAATATAACAGGGAAAGTCCATAATCTCATAATTATCAGCTAGAGTCATCTCAATAGTTACCTGTTTCTTTTCATATGTTCTGTCATCTTTTTTGGCTTGTCTTTCTCCTAAGATATCTGGGATCTTAGCTGAGAAGACTTAAAGTCTGGGGGTGACTTGATGACTAGAAGCTCGAGACATCTTGACTCAACATGTCTGGTGGCTCTGCTACCTATTGGCTTGGACTCAGCATGGCTGTTTGCTGGAAATCCTACATATGTGGCTTTTTCATGTGGTCTAGTGTGGGCTTCTTTATAACATGAAAGCTGGGTTCCAAGAGTGAGTGTCCCCAGAGAGCAAGGAAGAAGTGCATGGTGCCTTTATGATCTAGCCTTGCAATTTGTGTATCTTACTTACACCATATACTACTGGTTGAAGCAGTCACAAAGAGCTATTCAGGTTCAAAGGGAGGGTGATAACAAACCCTACTACTTAATTGGAAGAGTATCAGGGTTACATTGTAAGAAGGGCATGATGGGAGATGTAGCCATCTTTGAAGAATAGAATCTACTTACGAAGAATTATTGAAAAAGGAAAGGGTTTGAACAATGTTAGATCTGATTCATGCCCCTGAGTCATAGTTTTCCTTTGCATTTGCTGCTGTTAACATAAAAGCATTCATTGGATCTATGTATGTAGAACTGGTTTTTCTGATCCCATTTTGGAGAACCTAATGGGGAGAAAAACCACAAAACCAGCATGCGTATACTTAACACCCTGCCACCCTTTCTCCTGATCTGCATTAAAATGAAAGTCTAGGTAATAATAGACTTAACCTTATGGCAAATTTAGTGTGATTTGGGCTACTGTTCAGTCATAAAATTGCCCTACCTAAAAACTGTCAGTAAGGATTCATACAAATTAGATTTTATTACCATATGGACTTTTTTTTTTTTTGCTGTAAGTTCCTGAAATCTAGTTGTGGTACATAGTGATGAGACAGATCCATTTTTCCATAGAAATGGCATGATTATTTGGGATTGTATTTTGGACTGAAAATTTGGCAGCAAGTAATCATTAAAGCCAAAACTGTTTCAGAAAAATAAAAGGCATAGCAAAGATGTCTCTATTATGATATAAAATATTAACATTAAGCTGCAAGTTCTATAAATTGTACATAAATGTTGGCATATATTGACTGCGGAAGCATTCCAGTTTCAAGTTAAGGTTCATGGTTTATGGGTACTTTTCTGATTAGGTTGATAGGGCCTCAAATACTGGCATTTATGCTGGTGAATTCACTGAAGGTCTTGTACCAACCTCTGCAGGTGTAGATGCCTGATATTTTAGGTGCACTAATAGTGGCTCTGTCTCTGGAGATTTATGTTAACCAAGCTTGTCAAATGAAGAAAGAATTTCAGCTGTTTGGTAGTTTTCATTTATCCTTTTTGCTTTTGTCATGTCTTTTACTGCTACCTGTGTTATAAATTCTGCCTTTCACTGCCACTACTTTTACTTTACCTTTTAAAAGAAATCATAAGAAAAAAACAGCTATTTGTCGTGGTATTCATACCTGAAAATTTGGTTTTGAATTTGGAATCATTTTTTAAAAATCCGATAATTTCTTTTTACATTTCCTGTACTATATATCTGCCTTCAACAAATTCTCTTGGCTTTTGTTTATTTAAAAGTCATTATTTCACCCTATTTTTGAAGGATATTGAATTTTCAGTGGACAATTTTTTTCCTTTCACTACTTTAAAGGTTACTTCTGGCCTACATTGTTTCTGATGAGAAGTCAGCCTTTATTCGAATATATTGTTGTTCTCTTGTATGTTTGTTTTTTCTGTGATTGCTTTCAAATTTTATAGTCATCATTGGTTTTCAATAGTTTGATTTTGATGTGACTAGGTAGTTTTCTTTGTATTTATTTTGCTTGGAGTTTGATCTGTAAGGACTTACATTCTTTCATCAGAGTTAGGGGATATTATCCATTATTAAGTATATGCCCCATTTTCTCTTCTGTGTTAGACTGCGTTTTCTGGCTGGAAGGATGGGTGCTATACCGTTAACTAAGATTGAAAATACAGTGTGTTACCTCTAATCTCTAAAGAAAGGTTGTTGAATTTGTCAGTTAAAAGGTCATTGGTGACGTTAGCTATGAATAGAGAATGGAAAGTGGAATCTGCACAAGAAAGGAAGAGTGAATGGGATTGAAGAAATGGGAGACTTATTACTGTAGTTCTGTGTTTGTGTCCTATGCCCCATAGATATGTTTATGACTTACAGTTTTTTTTCATTTTCAGGCCTTCATCATAAACAGCATTCCTTTCCGCCCTCCTTTTTTAAGTGTTCTGTGAAAATATGAGCCACATTATGACATGATTTCTAGGATCGTAATTGCTACTATAAACTCCTTGTGCTTAAAGAAAAGATTGTTTTACCCAACGAGTTAATATTTTTCTTGACTTGGTGTGACTTGTGGATTGAAGGCCTCTGACATTTGATATTTAATTGGTATCTTGTTTATTTATCTTCATGCATCTGGAAAAATGGCTAGTAACACACAAGACCATTTTGCCTTTTCTTGCATGTTATTGCAGTACTTGTTAGGAAGCAGAAGACTTGAGGTCTCTGTATTTGCTTTTGTTTTGTGTTAGTGAGCACTAGAACATTAGTGAATAATACATCGGTATAATAATACATCTGTTGAAGTTCTTTGTGAAGTAAATATATTACAATTTTTAATAATATAGTTAAGGATGACTTCATTAGGTCATCTTTTTGAACTAATCTTTTGTATGCAGGTAATTATTATGTATCTTAATATTCTATCAACTTAGAAGTTTTAAAGTTTTAAATTTTCTGTTATATGAATGATATGTGTAATTGAATATAAAAGTATCAAAAAAACACAACAAAGAAAGAAACAAAACAAAACCCCAAAAGACACCTGAATCTTGGATAGCGTTCTTCTGAGGGGAGTTTTTTACTTGATCAGATTTTCATTAAATGATACTATATAGTCAAGGATGAAATGTAATTTTGAAGGGTTGTGTTAGATTTTGACTGTAATTTGTGTGTTAAAGAATGATTCAGTGCTTAAAATTGAACCTGCTTTAGAGTGACTTTACTTTCATGATTCCAAGGTGAGTGCAGTTTAATACTTCTTTATTTTGAAGTATTTTAAATCCATAAAAATTTTAGAATTGGGCACATTCTTTATCAAAAATACCTGGTTAAGGGCTGGCCCAGTGGCTCAGTTGGTTAAGAGCTCGCTCAAGAATGCGGGTTCTGAGCAACAGGGTCACTGATTCGATTCCCGGCCCAAGCTGAGCTGCAGCTGAGCTGCTAACAGGTGGCAGGATGGCTCAGCTTAAAAAAAAAAAAAAAAAACCTGGTTATTGTAGGTGCTTAATATCCTTGGATTTGTTATTTGAATATTATCTTTTTTTTTTTCTTCCCTCCCTAGTTCAAAGCAGTATTCAACGATTTCAAGAGAAGTTTTTTATTTTTGCTCTGACACCTCAGCAAGTTAGAGAGATATGCATATCCAGGTAAGAGGAATGTTTGGAATATATTTCTCCATGAATGTTGGTGTGGTAGCCTGCTAGGGCTGTCATAACAAAGTACCCCACATTGGGTGGCTTACACAACAGAAATTTATTTTCTCACATTTCAGGAGGCTTGAAGTCCAAGATTAAGGTGTTGACAGATGTGGTTTCTTCTGAGCCCTCTCTACTTGGCTTGCGGATGGCTGCCTTCTTGCTGTGTGTACTCACGTGGCCTTTCTTCTGTGTGCCTGTGGTCCCTGATCTCTTCCTCTTCTTATATGGATGCCACTCATAGGGCCCCAACTGTATGACTTTATTTAACCTTAATTACCTTTTTAAAGTCCCTATCGCCACATAAGTCACATTGGGGTTAGGGTTTCAATATGAATTATGAGGCATGCAATTCAGTCCATAACAGTTGGATTATTTCTTCTTAAGTGTGGTATATATAATAACTAGAATTAGCCAAATATTTAATAAATACTCTGTATAAGAAAAAAAATTTAACCTTTGAGTAAAATACCAGACTATCTTTAGAATTACTTTTTTTCACATCTGGCAATAATTTTTTTAACGAAAATTTTATTCCAAATATAGCAACATAAAAAAGAATTTGTGATAACAGCTCTCTGATAGGATGACCATATATACTGTATCATCCAAATGGAGGTATTTTTAGAGTGAAAGTAGACATTATTAATAATTTTTCTGGGATAAGAACATAAACTGGGACTGTTCTGAGTTGTATGATCGATCGATCACCTGGACCAAAAAATTAGTAGAAATCTTAATACAGTTATGAAAAGTACTCTTAGCGTTGCCATTTAGAAAATAGAAGAAACTTAGACACATTTATAATAAGCAAATGAACTAACATATCAGAGGAAAGAAAAGGAAATACTTTCAAATTAAAAATATAGTTCTCTTTGGTGTTAATAATATTTATACTCATATGACTCTTTAAAATTGTATTCTTAAAGATGTAGCATAAGAAAACCGAGGCCCTGGAGGTTAAATGATTTCCTGGGGTTGAGAGTTAAAAGTAGAACACAGTTGAGCAAATTAGAGGTCTTTTACTTCCTTTCAACTAGTCATGAAAATACTCATCTTTTCTGAGATGTTGAGAGTTTTTCAGAAGTAAGAATTCTGCAGTTAAGTTGTAGAAATTCTGTATTCAACATAAGTACATTAAGTTCTTTACTGCTGGCCTTTTCAGAGGCTTGAATATGTTCATGTGAGTTGCCAATCTCCCAAGATGCTGGAACCAAATTTATAGGCCTTGCATCTCTTTTAAACACCCTAACACCTTGAAGATGTACTGTTACAATATGTGGAAGAGTCTGGGACACAGTTTTAGATTCTTTCATTAATCATATCACTTTTGTATGTATATACAAAATTGTATATACATACAAATACATATTATATGCACACACATGCATATGAGTGAGGTTGGACAATTAAGTTCACGAACTCATCCTAGAAAAAGTGCTACATGCCTCACTGCTGAATATCACTGGTCACCTTTGAATTACTCCCCTTGGGAAGCTATGCACTGATGCCCGTGCCTAGTCCACCCTTCAAAGCAATTTTGGAACTCTTTTTTTCTGGAATGGCTGTCAGAGCTGTCATCTTATTACCTTTGATGTCCTGAATGTCATAAAAATGTCTTCCTTTGTTTACTGGCTAAAAACTCCCACACAGTGCCATGTGAACTGGTGCATTGTCGTGATGCAAGGGGCCATGAATTGTTGGCGAAAAGTTCTGGTTGTCTAATTTTTTCATGCAGCCTTTTCAGCACTTCCAAGTAGTAAACTTGATTAACTGTTTGTCCAGTTGGTACAAGTTCATAATGAATAATCCCTCTGATACTAAAAAAGTTAGCAACATCATTGCAACAGGTTCTCAAATTTAGTTGTCAGACTGTGTGTGCGTGTGTGTAGAGAGAGAGCGAGCTCACACTTTTAACAAAAATCTCAAAATGATTTTATAATCTGACCCTTAAAGGTTGAGCTCCCAAAGAGTAATGCGTAGATAGACTGGCTGTCTTACAAAGGGGAAAAAGACAGTGTTGAAAAATAAGATTGAAAAAACCAGACAGTACAGGATTAGTCCAAAAGATGCAATATTCCAATAATAAGCATTTCAGAAAATACAGAGAGAATTTAGAGGAGAAAATTATCAAGGAAGTAAAATGAATATACAATAGCTTGATCTAGTTCATGTTCATCAGGGGCAAGGCAGTGCAGTGAGTTTTTGTGAATTGGAAGGACTTTCAGTCTTCGGGATAGTAATAAACCAACTAACAAATACATAGAATAAATATTATATCTTATATCTAAAACCTTATCATTAATCTTAAGTGTTTTTTATTCAGAGATGATCTCTTGCTTGAGATCAACATTTGCTAGGTGTATTATTAGGTACAGAGCACTATATTATATGACATGACCACTTTCTACAGGTTGCTTGTAGGCATGTAGTGAACCAGCTTATATACATAAAATGATCATTGGCATTGCTAGGTGTTGTATGAAAAGAGCCAGTTCAGTGGTTGACAAGAGCTGATTCATAGGAGGAGATTACTCTTAACCTTGGTGGTCTGGGATAGCTTCACTAGAGTGTGGGTGGGCCTTTGAGGGAAGGAGATTATTTAGAGTACGTAAAGATACAGATTTCAAAACATAATTTTTACATCTTTTTGAAGTTTGAAATATGTGAATGTGTTAACTAATCAAAAAATCAATAACTAAAATTTAAGTAATTTTCAATTTAAAATTTTAATTACGTTCTGGAGATGGATGGTGATGATGGTTGCACAACAGTATGAATGCACTTAATGCCACAGAGCTATACACGTAAAAATGGTAAACGTGATAAATTTTCTTATGTATTTTTAACCATCAAAATTGTTTTTTAAATTAATGGTTAAAGTAAAGCTATTTGCAACCCTGCCACCAAAGAAAATAAAATAAAACACACATACACATGTACATATAACCTTTTCAGAGTTGTGTAAAATCAAATAGTAAAACATCTTCCTTGCGAATGGAAGTAAGTTTGGTACCCATTACCTAACTTTACCAATTAATCAACATTTTGTCAGTCTGTATGAGACCTCCCCTCCACTTTTTTTCCTGAAATATTTTAAAGCAAATCACAAATATTTAATCACCCAGAAATACCTCAGGATGCATGTCTGATTAAGTTTTAACATAATCACTCTAAAAAATTAGTAATTCCTTAATATAAAACAATGTCTAGCCCATATTAAAATTTTTTCAGTTGTTTTAGTATTTAAACATGGTCATGTATTACTTTTGACTCCCAAGAGTTTTAAAAAAGTTTTTGCTTTAAAGTAATTATAGATTTACAGAAAAGTTGTAAAAATAGTAGATATACTCTTTACCCAGCTTCCCGCAATATTAACATCTTGCATAACCATAGTGCAATTAACAAAACCAAGAAATTAACCTTGGTACAATACTATTAACTAAACCACAGACTTTATTTGGATTTTACGTTTTTTGCTATTGAATTGCTGTTCCTAGATCCAATCCAAGATCTCAAAGCACATTTAATTATGTCATTTTGGTCTCTTTCAGTCTGTGATAGTGTCTTAGTTTTTTTCCTTGTCTTTTATAACTGTTGGATACTTTAGAAGAGTACTAGTCAGGTATTTGTAGAATGTCCCTCAATTTTGGTTTGATGTTTTTTGTCATGATTAGATTGAGATTATGCATTTTTGGCGAGAATACCTCAAGTTATATACCCTTTTCAGTGTATCATATCAGGGGCTACATCATATTGGTACATTTCAGTTTTGGTGATGTTAACCTTTAACCTTTATCACGTGGGTAAGGTATTGTCTACCAGATTTTTGCACTGTAAAGTTGCTGTTTTTTCCTTTGTTATGAAAAAATGTCTTGGGGGAGATAATTGGAGATTAAGCACTTTTCTGTTTTTCTTCAGAGTGCCCACCAATTTAGCATTCCCTTGTGGATCTTGGCCTTTAGCAATTATTTCATCATAAGCACTCTGTGTTCCAGTGCTGTGATTTTCTATTGTTCTTATTGTTTTTCACATTGGAGTTACTCTTTTGTAAGAAAGAGCTGTCCCTTTGCCCCCATTTTTAATTCAGTTATTTACTTGTATCCATGTGGGCTCTTGGGTACTCTAAGGGTTATTGCTCAAACGGTTCTACCTTTGGCCACTGGGCATTCTTTCAGGTTGGCTCCTGTGCCCTTTCTGCTATATCTGCATCCATTTCTGAGCACTACTTTACTTTTTGGCCCAACAAAGATGCTCCAGGCTCATCTTGTAGTTTCTCTGCCCCAGTTCTGGAATCAATCACTTTTCCAAGGAGCTCTGGTTCCTCTCTTGTTATACTACTTCCTACCACTGTCTTTAAAAGAAAACAACAAAAAACACAAAACACAGTCATTTGACTCTGTAGCATATTACACATTCTGGATTTGCACGATTGCGCTTGTTGTGTCATTTAGCTTCTGTCCCTGTGGTTCTCAAACTTGGCTGCGTGTTAGAATCAACTGGGGAGCTTTTAAGATTCCAAATACCCAGGCTTCATTCATACCAATTAAATTAGACTCTGAGAATGGAGCCCAAACAATAGTAGTTTTTCAAGCCCCCTGGGTGTTTCCAGTGTGCAGTAAATTTGAGAACCACTGCTGTGCATCTGGCGCCTCCTTCCTCTTTACCTGTAACGATAGTAAGGTCTAAACCAGAGGCTTTAATACATTCACGTTTGGGTTTGCTCTTTTTACCACGTCTTGTAAAGATGGATGAGTGAGTTAGCTCTGTTCATGGTTTTAGCCTTCCCCTTCCATTTGATACTGCTGCCTCTAACCATGCTCTCTCAGTCTCTCACACTGTCTTGTCTTACACGTTCCCAGAAATCCATCTGTGATTCGCTTCTCACTATGTGATCGTGCCCATGAATGTGCTTTGTTATTTTTATATTCATGGCTGCAAAATCACCAACACTTGCCTCTCGAGACCGTCTCATTGCTTCTACTTTGATGACCCACAGGTATATCAAACAGCACACCTAGAACTGAACTTGCTTTCTTCCCAAGCCTGCTTGTTTGTCTTTTTTTTTTTCATTTATTCGTGTAGTCTCACAGCATATATTTATTTACTGTCTGCTATGGTCCAGGCAGTGTTCCAGGCACCAGGGGTTCAAAGTTGAAAAATGAACTTGGCCTTGAAGGAGATTTTTGCTTGGTTTATTTCCTCCTATTGCCTATTTCATCAAATCGGCCTGGACATAGGCCTCTTTGTATTATCCCACACTTCATCTACCACGTCCCGTCAATTTGCTACACTCTGTTGATTCTTTTACTTAAAACAATGAAACTCAAGATTTAAAACTTGAAACAACTCTACCTTTGAGGTAGCCGCATGGTCTTTAGAGTAAGACCAACTGGAATGTGAATTCTAGGCCAATCTCTTAGGTCTGTATGCTCCTTGGTAAGCTACTGAAGCCCATTGAATCTATTTACCCAGTGTGTAAAATTGACAAAATAATCGTGATCTCACTCAAGTTCTTGAACGCCATACTTGATTTACCTCTTACCCTGTGAGCAGTATCACCATCTGTCCACTTGCACCATCCCCAAACCTGATGCTCCTAGATGCTCCCCTTCCCTTATCCTACCGTCCTGTCTCTGGTTAGCCACTGGGTCCTATCAGTTTTTATACCTAAATATCATTCAGTGATATTTATGTTTAAATAGCTTTCAAGGCTTCATCTTTTGCCTACACAGCTGTGGTCTCCTAACTCTGGCAGCTGACCATGTGATGTTTCTAAAGCTAATTCAGTTTTTCTCTCGCGCACTTAGAAACGCTGTAGTGATCCCTTGTGAAGTCCACACTCCATTGCCTGTAATTCTCTTCAACATTTTGCTCTTGCTCATCGTTTTTATCATCTCATCTCCTGTCACTCTTCACTGGCAGCCTAGGCTTTCACAGCTCTATTACCATATCCTCTTCCTCGCTACTCTGCGTTAAGGGCCAGTTGGGGTCTTAACCTTTTCTGGGATACCTTTTCCAGATTCCCCCAAACACATCCTTTGTCTCTCATTGCACTGTGTACATATATTCTATTGAAGCATCGTCTCATTTATTTTACCAGTTGCATTTCAAGCTTCTTAATGCAAGCAGCATCTCTTACTCATTTTTATATTCTCAAAGCCTGTCACAGTGCCTGGCATATAGTAAATGCCTACTTTCTATCTGATGAATGAGATCAACTTGTGACAGTTCCAGGACGGTGAAACTGGCAGAAAATGAATGTCAGAAGATGCTTAGTCATTACTCAAAATATTTGTGAAGATATTTAGCACATTGCATATCCCAGTTTGTTACTTTCCCTTACTGGAATAAGGGAAATATAAATCCTTAGTGAGCTATTCAGTATCCTTTAAAACATGTTCCATCTACCTTTCTAGGTTTGTCTTCAGTCATTTCTCCTTTTTTCAAATTATGTTCCCCAGCCTAACAAGATTCTGTTATGTAGCTCTGGTTGATCCTCTTTTGTTGAGAATCACTGCACTCATGAAGCCACTGTTACTGATGGAAGTGTGTCTCTAAGTAGAAATTCGCAGAACTGCTGTGCAAACCATTTTCTAATTTGATTGGACCAGTTGTGATAACTACTTTGAACTTTCGAGACAGAATTAAATTTCCTTTTTTTCTGTAGCATTAATTTTTTGTAATGTACTATAACAGTTACTACATTTTATTTTAATTGTATATATCTGTTACCTACTAGCATATATGATTTTTGAGAGCAAATACTGTCTTATTTACCTATGAAGCTCTAGCACCCAGACTGTGAAATGTTTCTTGAATGAGTGAAATGATATGGGTTACTCATCAAAGGTCTGTGTGGTCCAGGATATTGGGATGTTTTGAATAGACACTTGAGAGGGTGGAGGCTACCACTGGCGAGGGAGACAGTGAGAACAGAGTTAACAATATTAGTAGCCAGCTGCTCATGCACGTTGAGCACTTCTTATATCCAGGCTCTTTAAGTATGTTATTAACACATATAGTCATCACAAGAACTCCATCATGAGGTAGGTGCAGTAATGTTCCATCTTTAACAGATGTGTAGAAACTGAGGCCCAGAAAGGTTAAATAATTTTCCCAAGGTCATACAGTTTGGGACTGAAGAATGCCAGCTGGTCCCTACTGTGCTTTACTGCCTTCCAGTGAACATAGAGAATTGGAAACAGTGAGAAGACTGGCCTGGTTAGAGCAAGATGAGGGCTAAATGTACTCAAGAAAAGACCCATCTCTAATGTTATTCTCTCTGAGAAAGTCCAAGATTTATGATAGTGACTAAGGACAATACTTCTTAAACTGGTCATACATGTCACTTAGGGATCTTGTTAAAATGCAGATTCTAATTCTGTAGATCTGAGCCTGAGATTGTACATTTTAAACCAGTTCCAAGCAATAACAATGCTGCTTCATCGTGGATTCCATTTTGAGTGGCAAGGCTTTGGAAGGTTCATTGCCAAAGATATTTTGTATGGGACTCCATTAGGTTCTCATCTGGAAACTCTAAGAGATTCTGTGTCCTTAGTTGGATACATAATTATGAAGTTGCCATGGAGTAGAGATTTTGGGACGCTAGGCACCAGTTCTTTATTGTAGTTTTGTGTTATAATCACCTGAGTACCTGTAAAAACTAATGCTCAGGCCGTACTCCAGACCAATAATAATATCTGGTGAATGGGCCTTTATATTAAAAAAAAATTAGCAAGTGATTAAAATGCTCAGTCAAGGTTAAACAACCACTATAATAAGCAAACAAATTTATTTATTAAAGTCTTTTACAATGTAGGGTACTCCTTTTCATGTTAACCAAGTCAGCTGCTTATTGAAATAAATATTGCATTGTGAAAGTCCCTGTGAAGTGAAAATACCCTAAAATTACCATAAAGACATGATTAAATGTTCAGTAAATGTGGGTTATCATCACCAGCCTATTGGTAGGCTAGTGTACATCTTTTAAGGAATAAGAATAAAAAATACTAAAAATGTTTTTTTCAGATGAGAATGTTCCTGTGAATTCTTGTTGTGTTTTTATAACCCAATTTCTTTTTTTTTTTCAACAGGGATTTTTTGCCAGGTGGTAGGAGAGATTATACAGTCCAAGTTCAGCTGAGGCGAGTTTGAAATTTTCTGTTACGTTCATAACATACTTGCTGACTATGTGTATATAGCATGAATTTGAAAATACATAAGCATGTTTGAATACATTATATTGCAATAATTTCTTTTTTCTTCTTTAATGTAGACTTTGCCTGGCAGAGACAAGCTGCCCTCAAGAAGATAACTATCCCAATAGTCTGTGTATAAAAGTAAATGGGAAGCTGTTTCCTTTGCCTGTAAGTTGCTTTTATTCACCAGGGGGTGGGACAGCATAGGTAAAGACTGATTATGAGTAAATAAATTATTGAATTGGATAATAGGGGTATGGGAGTTTATTATACTTTTTTCTCTCTTTTTGTCTGTGTTTGAAAATTTTAATAAAAAGATAAAAGGCATCTTTGAGGCAGTTGGGAAATTTGAATATAAACTGTATATTAATTTTTTTTAATTATGGTTAATTTTGTAAGGTTGTGATACTATTTTTTTTAAGGTCATATTAAAGAAGCGTATAAAAGGATCTGGGTCAAATGGCATGTCTAGAATTTGCATTTAAGTACTCGGGCAAAACCACATGTGTATATGTGTGGTGTGTGTATTTAGGGGTGGGCTGGCAGTGGGGCCAGAGGCAAACAAAGCACAAGTAGCAACATGTTGATAATTATTGAAGCTGGTTGGTGCGTACTTACTATTCTCTCTACTTTTGTGTATGTTTGAAAATTTCTATAATATAAAATTTTTTTAAAAAATCTGTGTTGGTGGTATTAAAGTAAAGAAATTCCAGGGAAATGTTAAAAGAACAACACTGTCAGCCTTTGTCACAATTACAAGTAATGTAAGATGTTGTCATAGCATATAACAGAAAACGTTCTTTAAGTATATCTTCTAATTGAAATGTTAAGTTGAGACTGAAACAAAATCCTTCACTGGCTCTCCAGCAGCCTTTATTTAGAAAGCTTTTAGATTTGCTCCAGAGGTTCCCTGTCAGATGAACTTCATTTTATTTTTTATTTAGATTTGGAAAATTGTTAGAAACATGTGAAGGCCAAGCATTTGTATTTTACAGTATTCTAGCTATGTTCTGTTCTTAAGCCAGGAAATTGATGGTTGAGTGGAGGTGATGCTGATGGGCAGAGGGAGAATACAAGTTAACAGATAACTCAGAATTACCAGTGAAATCCAACTAGTAAGTGGAGAGGAGAATAGATTTAAAATACTTAAGGTGATTAAGACTAGCACTTCACTTGATTTTGAATTTGCCAACACCTCATTCTTACAGTCACCGTTATTCTCCCCCACCCGTTGCTGTCTTCCTCTGTCAAACTAACTTAAAACATTGTTGCTTGGTGTCTTAAATTCCAGTCTACAGAGTTCACTGTTCAGCTAGTTCATGAATTATTGTTATCGTCTTGGCAGACCCTCTGCCATTGTTTTTATTCAGTCGACATGCTGGAAGACAGGTATCTTCCAGGCTAAAAAAAATATGCAAAACATGGGTTTCATTCAAATTTACCCAGATATTGGTGTTGATATTCCATGTGCCTGTTGCTTATTGAACCAGTTCCTAGAATCTTATATTTATAAGAGCACTTTTAAAATGTTTTCTGTTTGTTCTATTTCACTTGAACAATTTTAGATGGGCATGCCCTTCTGTGCGCGCACACACACACACACATCTCGCTTTTCCATAGTATAATGGAAATTCCTTTCTTGGTCTTCTCTTCCCCTGTTCAAACTTTAAAAAAATGATTTTTAAGGTCTTGTTGCACGTTGTAGATTACAAATTACCCTGTGAATTCCCACTTAATAAATACTTTTATTAGGTAGGCCTCCTGTGAGGCAGTGAAGGATGTTCCCCTGTTGTGATAGAATGTATTCCTTAGCTCTGCTCTGTAACACCACCAATATGGTATTTCATTTTTTTTTAAGGTGCTTATTTTTAACATCCCTAACATCCAGAGGTGTCTTAAATCGCTGATGACCAGATGGCAGCTGTAATGTATTGTTGTTGCCTGCATGTGTACAACCTTGACGTTATTCCCATGGCATGACTGATTAGCTGCACTCCCTCGGTTTTTCATTCAACAAATGAGTTTAAGAATGTTTTGAGGAAGGTTCATGAATCCTGGCTGTATCCAAAAACCTTCGATCAGTATATTCCCATAAGATCCAGAGTGTATCAGCATTAACACATGCAATTAATTTAAGGGTGTAAGTGATTTGAAGTCTGAGAAATGTTAGTGGAGTAGAATATAGTTTTATACTGAAATAAAATAAATATGTAGAATAATTTTTATCTCCAGAGCTCTTGGTGGCATATAGGAGAGTATCATGTGGAAAATATATTCATTGATGACTGAGTAAAAAGCAATTCAGGAGATTCTTATGTATATTCAAAAGAAATATGCTAGCCAATTCATTTCGCTTACGAGTATTATTTCCGTGCTATGTATGCAGCAACAAGTAATGATACACTAGGTTGTATCATTAACTTAGTGTTTTTTCCTTCTCAGTGGTAATGGTACATAGTTAAATTACATCAGTGGCATCTTATTCAGTAAACTGAATATGGCATCTGCTTCTCAATATGTAGATGTTTTTGCAGCTTAGAAATTTTAATATTCTAAAAAATATTTGGTTTTGAAAATCACAAACTGAAAAATGGTAGTTGAGATTTGGATGTACTGTGAATCAACAATGAGTACATTTGCTATTTTAAAATGAGTACATTAAATACTTAATGTCTAGAAAAAGTAGAATAAAGCACAAATAGCAATGTTCTAGCTATCAAGCTAATGTACTCCCAGTTGAAATATTATTTGGTAAGTTGACCCGATGTTAAAGGTTATAATCTCTGTTCTACTTGGAAAAAAGGTAGTGGAGAACATTTTTATCACTCACAAGATTGTAATAATTCCTTTGAAATTCATTAATTTGTTCTCTTTTTAATTCCCAAAGCTTGTTTTCCCTCTTTTCCATCCTTGTATTTCAGTGCATTTTGAATGGGAACTCCTAAGATGAAGCAATACAAAGAGGTGCAACTTCATGGTTTATAAAAAGCACAGAGATTCAGAGCTAAAATGGCAAGGTGTCAGCATCTTTAATTTTAAGGGTGGAACATGGATTTTATATATATATATATACATTTTATTTTATTTTTTTTCTGAATTTGTGACATACTTTATGACTTTTTTAAAAGGTCATTTTCTTTTCCTGGGTTGGTAACCTTAAGGTGAGGACTATGTGATTTCCAGGATAAAAGAAAAATAACTAGCATAACTGAAATTAGGCAGGATCCCGTGTCTGTCTTGGAGAAAATGTTTGATTTCCTACAGGTAATTTAGAATTGTTTTTCTTTCTTATGGTCATAGGGCTACGCACCACCGCCTAAAAATGGGATTGAACAGAAGCGCCCTGGACGCCCTTTGAATATCACATCTTTAGTTCGGTTATCTTCCGCTGTGCCAAACCAGATTTCCATTTCTTGGGCATCAGAAATCGGAAAGGTACAGATTCTCTCCTCTGGGTAGCGTGAACGTAATCCCACCGGGAAGTGGTTTATTTTATTTGTTTCTTAGGCTGCAGCTCCAGCTTGTTTTCGTTTTCTGTTTGTGATCTCTAAAAAGCAGTGATTTTCAGTTCAGGATTGGAGGCATGGAGATCCTTAAGGTTAAAAACTCGAAGGTTTCCTGAGTATCATCTTTTTATTTTCCTGGAAGGGGAATAAGTATAATTACAATACTTCTTAATGTAGTGGTGTAATCGCAATTGTGTTTAAGTAGTATGTTAAGAAACTGGAAACTTTGGGTCCTGTTATGTATTTATGAAGAGGAACAAAGAAGCTTTATTAAGCTTTGGGGAAAATAGTTAAATGTACTCATGTTGTGAATCTGTTCCAGCCTTTACGTAAATAGCTGATACTTCAGATAACATGTGGGCATCTCATGAAAATATTTGCATAGAATTGTATTATTTTTTTCTATGCCTTTAGGTTGATGAACCTGGCTTTGTGCTGATCCTTAATCTCAAAATACATTATTTCAGTTATGAGATGCTGATTAACACAAGGGATTTCCATTTTAGAACTACTTGTTCATATAACTGAAATAATAGAATGGCAAAAGATTTCAGTTAATTTTTGAACATAAACTTTAATGTTGCTGTTTCATAGAAAAAAAGGATAATTCTATTTTATGGATGGAGAAGCTGAGTCATGTTTGTAGCAGGAATTTTTTTGGCTTGATTACCAAGGTAATTGCAGAGCTGGACATAAAGAAGAGTATTTTTATATTAATTTTTGGACTATAAAAATATTACTATCTCTTTAATGTTTGTTCTCTTATGTTCTCATTTCTGAATTTTTACTGAAACTTACCAGTATTATTATCATAGGGTGCTGATTTCTAATATTTTTCATTTGCATGAACTGAATGTACAGTGGTAAAATATTGGATAAGTATTCAGAAAATCTTGGCTTAGTCCCAAGTTGGCCATTGTTTGGTTTTGGCAAAGTTGGATAATTCCTTGAGGCCTACTTGTTATAAAGAATTAGCAAAATCTTGAGAATGGGTGCTGTATACAAATGTAAGAAACGTTATTAAATGAGCAATTATTAATGCTTTAAAGCTTAGTGAGAGGAATTTGAACAGAAGAATATATCTTTTTGAAATGTTCAGGTGGTTTTTTTATTAGTTTCAGGTGTACAAAGCAACGTAATAGTTAGACATTTACACTCCTCACAAAATGATAGTCCTCCTTCCCCAAGCTACTACCCCTCTGACATCATATATAGCTGTTACAATTCCATGTAAATGTTCAGATTTTTGAATAAATGATCATAGCCAGTGAAGACCTACTTGTTTTGTTTTTGCCTCATAATGGGAATAATATTCTTTCCTTGTAATTAAAATGACTAGACTAATTGACGTAAAATTTGCCTATGTATTAGGTATTCAGATATTTAAAAGGACTGTTGCAGGACATTAAAAATATTTAAAATATTTGGTTTGGCAACTACTAAAAGTATTTTGTTTATTGTAGAATTGATTGAATGAATATATGTAGTAAAATGGTAAGACAGATTTTTAGCACTTAGATAAAATTATATTTTATCCCTTTATAGCTCTATCAATAGCTAATGAAGGTTCCTTTGTGCCAGATCTAAGAGGTATGGGACTGGATGCTGTTATTTTCTGGCCTTGTCCTTTTGATTTTTATCATTTCTTCCTGTGTCTTAGATACTCCAGGAGCTGCCACTTCCCTAGCAGAATGCCCATTTGGGAACTGGAGTTAATTTGTCAAAGTTGTCCTCAGAAGAAAGCTGATTTGGGGTTCATTTAAATGATTTGCTCACGGCCCTGTAGCAAGTGGCCAGAATTGGAACCTTGGAACTCTGGATATGAAGTGTTAATTCAGACCACTAGTGTTTGAACTTTGTTTCTGCAGTGGAACTCATTTTTCAATGAAAATATTATGAGAGCTGGTTTCATAAAAATAGAACAGTTGTAGTTAGAAGTAGGCATAGGAGAGTACATCTCATTCATGCCATGGTGGTCATTAAGGTACCAGTTTTGCTAAATTAGAAACACAATGTGAAAAACTGATCTAAGTTATCTTTCACGTGGATGTTTTAAAGTGATAAGTTATAGAAAAATACCTTTAATATGATTGAGCTAAAGGAGCTGAGTTGATTTTGTTCCCTTAGCAGTTGTTGACCTTCCTGTGGAAGTTATTTTGAATGTTATTTTTAGAAATCAGAGGTTCTTAAACAAGTATTATATGTAAATAAAGAGACTATTATCTCTCATCTTTAATACAGATTGTCTTTTTTTGTAGAATTACTCCATGTCTGTATATCTTGTACGACAGCTCACATCAGCCATGTTATTACAGAGATTAAAAATGAAAGGTATTAGAAACCCTGATCATTCCAGAGCACTAAGTAAGTAATGTTCGTAAGACTTGAGCATATGAGATACTTTAATGAAAGAAAGAAAAAAAAGCCTCACATATACATCAATACAGGAATAATTTGGGAACAGTTACCAGAAACATAAAATGAAGTTTGAGTTAAAAAATACTCTAAGAACACTGCCCTATAAATTGAAAAAACCCTTCTTTTAGAAACCACTCCCAAGAGGATTAGTTTTAACCCAACTAATCTGATTTTGGGCCTTTTCATGAAAACTTATTTAGGTAAACATCAAGTTGATGGTTATTTTGATACATTGATTTTGAGAATAGGAATGCAAGTTTTCAGAACCTCCAGTGTTCAATAGAATGTACAGTTTTATAAATTCTAAATAATAAAAAGCTCATTTTGCTAAAGAAATGTTGATAATCACCATCAGTGTTTGCCTTCTAGATGTTTTGTTTTGTACTTCGCTTTCATAATATATAATAGGTAGAGGAAAAAAGTGTAGCCCAAACTGTAAATAATTCAGTTCAGTAACTGAATTTAATTGAACAAGACATTTTTCTGGGAAAGGGAATATTTTTCTCCCCAATTACCTCCATACCACTGAATGAACCAGAAAAGAGAAAAGGATCTATAGGCTGAAAAGGGAGCCAAGTGTGGCTTTTGAAATGGTATTTTGTTTCTTGTAACTCAAACCATTTCTCCTCTCCTCAAACAGCACAGTGTGGCTCTTCCTGCCTAGAGCTGAAAGCCAAGGAAGCTGTTTCCTAATTTTTCTTGCCCCACTTCAGTTCCACGGTCTCCAGTTCCAGTTCCATTCTCCCTATAGTGGTGTTTGAGAATTAGGCATCTGGAGGCAATGCATATATATATATATATATATATATGTTAGCTTGTATATACAGTAACTTGTATGCATTACCTGGTGAATAAAATCACGGGCACATTACCACATCCTTAGTCATTTTCAGTTGTCAGAGGAAGTATAAGAATATTTTACCTTTTGTGTTTACAAATTTAGTAATTGTGGAAACAACCAATACTCCCTAATAAAAAGTCATGAATGTGCATTAGGGTAGCATTGAAGCTCAGAGTACTGCTGCTTTCCAAGTGTCTTTCCTGATTGTTTTGTTCTTAAGTCTTAAACAGCTTTCCATTTTGAAACTCTTCCTTATCTGCAGTTTTACTTTTAAAAATTCAATTAAACGTGATCTTGAGTTTGCAACTTTATAATTCTTTAACCTAATACTGGAAGTATGCATGTGTTTTCAATACATTAGTACTTAACTTTTGTTTTTGTAGTTTCTTGACCTATTCAAAGTGTTTAGGAAACTTCAAATAAGATGATATATATTTCTATAATTTTGTTCATATGTCACAATTAATACTTTTAAAAAATTTATTGTTATTTTTCCTTCTTTTAAAGTTAAAGAAAAACTTACTGCAGATCCTGATAGTGAAATTGCTACAACGAGCCTTCGGGTATCCTTGATGTGCCCTGTAAGTAAAGCAATAAAACATTCTGGGTGTTTTAATTTTTATAAATTACTAATTTTCCTATACAAGTATGTGTGGTAATGAATGATATATTATGACAGAGTTGTAAACTTTTGTTGTTTTCCCATCCAGAAATCTTAATGATTTCAGTATTTTAATTCAAAAGAATACACACATTCTTCAGGCTATGACTAAGCAAGAAGAGACCTAACAGGATATTTTATCAAAGAGGGAAGAGAGCTTTAGGTTCAGAATAATCTATCATAGTTAATGCTATAGATAATCCACAGCTAATAATAAACATATATAGGGAGTTGGCTCCCTATGTTTTTCATTACTGAAAAACAATAAAATTACTCGGACCTGATAAATGCTAATTGGTGGTTCTGCATTAATGAGTTAGAATGTGTGAAATGTCTTAATTTGTTTGTAATGTACTTCTAAATTGCATAATAATTTTTATTTTATATCTCTTTACATAGAGACTGTGGGAGACAGTCAGCAACTCTGAGATCCTTCTATGTGTTTGGTACTGAGCTAATTGTGGGCAAAAATATTGAAGACTTGATAAGGAGTTTTCAGAAAGTTAATCTAGTTTGAGAGAGAAAACCAACTCACATGAAAAAGCAGAAGACTATGCTTCCCACATGTAATTGTACTATTGGAGTACCAAAGAAAAGGGGAGAGGTCAATAGTGGATAAAGCCTTTAAAATCAGTACTGTTGGAGGGGACCCTTTCATATGGGAGGGACTTCATATGAAATCAGGAATTTATAATGTAGTTTGGGAGGCATTTGGGGACCAGCCACCATTGTGAGAATGTACAGTTTTTTAAATGGAGATAGAATTGTGTCAGAGAGGGAAGGGAATAATTTGTTGAGTTCCTATTATGGCAATCCTGTATGAGAGTTGTTCCCATTTTGCTGATAAGGAAACAGACTGAAAGGTTGGCTAACCCAAACCACGTAGTAGTAACTAGTAGTAGTAGAACAAGGATAAAAATTTTGGTCTTCTGACATTCCAGTTCTCTTAACAATGTACCATATTGCCACATTGGACTAAAATATAAATATCCTGAGTATAAGTCCACCCCTCTATCATCCTGGAAAGTGGTGTTAGCATATATCTTTGTTTCTGAAGCTGTATTTTTTTTTATTATCATTAACTTAAAACTAATTTACCTTTATTGAAAATGAATAGAATTACATGAAATTGGGATTGCTTAGAAATTGGAACCTGTGGTTATCAAACCCAGAGAGAAGGTCTGCATCCCCAGCAGGGGAGGACATTAATGCCCTGAGGTGGTGGCAGAGGCCCTAGAGACTATGTGTTTGGACCCAGGACCTCCTCTGCTCATACGCCGTATGCACACTTTCAGGCATACGTTCTGATCCTTGATATCATATGCTTCATATCAATTACAATACTTTCATATTGTGGTAGCTTTTAGTGTACAGATATATGGGAGACAATCACTAAGTTATGTGATGGAAGGTTCAAAATTGTGTATATTGTATGCCATCATTTATGGAAAAATGCTTTTTAAAACACACTTGATTATGCATAGAACATCTAGGAAAGGACATGCAATAGACAAATGTGTTCTAAACACGGGAACAGATGAGGAAGAGACATATTTTCATTGTATATGGATCTTTTTCTACCTGTGAATTTATGTCACCTGTTTTCAAAAAGTGAAATGGTCTTTTAAAAATTATAG